ATCCTCTAAGTTTTGCTTTATAAGCCACGAAGGTTACTGCTAAGCCAACGGGCGACTACATTCAATTTGTTGCTTATTTTTATAAATTCATAATTGCTGCAGGTGGATTTAATTTTGTTTAATTTAATTAAATAAAAACTATATTTGTAATATTTACACCACGTTTCTCTTGATAACAAAATACATATATATAACACAGAATAAAAAAAAAGAAACTTAAGTTTTATTATAAAAGTGCCTAAGCATAATAAATGTAATATTTTCTTCCATAATCACACTGAGGTTCTAGACACACATAATATCATTCATTGTTGTTGTTATGCACAAAGCTACACAATGGGCGATCTGTGTTCTGCTCACCAGGGGTATCGAAACCCAGTTTCTAGCGTTGTAAGTCCGCAGACATACCACTGTGCCACCGGAGGGCAATATCATTCCTACTATTTGAATATATTCTTGAAATTTGAAATGAACCAATTCTTGTTTGGCCCATGCAAAGTTCACCTAGAAGAGAACATAATGCCGTTGACACTGAAACAATTAATTTGCATTTGCTAGAAATTAAACATAGCTATTCCACTATGTTAGTTTCTTAAGTAATAAATTATAATTGCTTCAAATATATAATAAATAGAATAATATTAAATGTTAATTCTTAGAGAAGATTTAGATAGAATAATTCACATAATACAATATTTATCAATATAAGTTTATACTATCCTAATCAAGAACAGGAAAACCACGGCTGCAATTGACAAATAATTTAATATTCGGGTTTTTCAAAATATACATATCCTATGATCAGCGTTATGTAATTTTAATACGTTAAAAGTAGTACCACTTCCAATATAATTGTGATACCTTGTTTTATAATAGTGTTACGACAGCGGAAGTCACGCAACGCTGGGAGCATGCGCGCTGGAGTTTCTCGAAGGATCATGAATTTTCCTGGCAACTCTAGTTTGTTCCAGGCGCCCTCTATTTCAGTATATAAGCCCGGCAAATAAAGCCAGCGAGAAAGATATAATTGCAGAGATAGGCAGATAGATTGAAGATAGAGATAACTGAGTCAAGCGAACAGTAAGCACCGTAAGTAAAGTGTGTGAATCACTGTGATTTATAGCATGTGTTATAAAGGTTGTTAAGTTTAAAGTGACTGTGGAAATTCTGTGTACTAAAAAGTTGTACCAAGAAAGAATAAACTAGTTTTAATTAAGAAAGGACTTGTATCGCCGAAGTTCCTCGGAAAGATTTTATACCGGAAATTAACAAACGAGCAGAGACATAACAATAGATACATCGAGGTAATAGAACAAAATTAAAGTAAAAAAACAGGGTACTAGCAACATAATTATTATTTCAAATAGGCAATAAAAATAAAAATAAACACCTACCATACGAGTCAGCCCTCCATCTTGATGTGGATCCAAATGAAAAAGAAAAAAGAAGAGTCATTTCGGAAAGGTTTGGGTTGTTTTGATTAGATAAAAAGAAGACTATACATATGGCACTATTTTCGAGGTCTGAGTCATTGAATCAGACCCGTGACCATGAGAACTAACATGGAGAAGTTTACTTGTAAATGTAAAGTAAGACGTTGTTGCAATGAAACATGATTGATAAATTTTAGATATGGTTGTAAATGTCATGGTGTGTAGCTATTAAGTTAAACCGTGAGTCTAGGTCGGATTAGGGAAGAAATTCTTTGAAGATATCCCAATCGATTTCACATACCAGCTGAATCAGAGATTCGTCAGTTGATTATTGCACTGACAGCGAAACATAAAACAACGGGCATAATAGTATCGCTATCTTCAAAAAGTGCAATTGGAATAATATATAATAAATCAGTAGTTTCAACATTTTGTGAAACTAACAGTACTGTAAAGCCCAAAGATGCAATGTTGAAATTGAAGCAAGTGCACGATGCATGGCAAGATAATTTCCCTTACGATTCTCAAATTATAAATGCCATTTCTGAAATGTAGAGTAAATGTAAGAAGGACGGTATAATGTCCAGTATGTTATCAACATTGTATAATCCATATAGATTTCATCATGTCATATTTTTTATTAATATTTAGTTGTTGTTTTTTTCGTTTGAAAAATAGTGCCGAGCTTTATTCATCAAGATCTATCGAAGTAACCCTAAATCACCGGTAACCGCAGTGATCCTCTGATGACCATCTTAGGCTCGGTGCTAAAAAATGCTGGTCTGGCTAGTGTGGCAGGTGTTAAGATAGTGATATTTTATATGATCTCTGATTATTATTAAGTTTGAGCTTTCACTGACAGACTTTCTTTTATAAGTTATTTATACAGACAGCATATTTGTACTCTTTCCTGTTGTATAGAATAGAGCCAAATTTATTTATTTATTTATCTATCTATTTTGTGGTATATTCAGGTGAAGTTTAATTAGCTTGAAAGCTATATTGGATAGATCCACTTGATAACAGGATATTTACTCAAGATATCTATAACAAAATATTAAATATTTTACTAACTGAGTAAATATAAAATGGAGTCATGAAACGAACATTTTATTAAGGCACTAAACATAAATACAGTGTATGTACTTGCTTGAATGAACACGATAGACCTACGCTCTAGATGGATACTTTTAGTGGTTGACACTTCAAACTAAACTGGCTAAATGTAACTCTCCTTAGCATGCATGAAACCTAGAATTTACCCAGAGCGACCAGCAATATTCCATGAATGGTAATTTTTATTACAACATAGGTGGATCCGTAACCTCTAGCTATCATCTGAACAACTTTTGAAGGACACATCCTTATTCAATGTACAGTATTGACCAACATTCTTCCCAGGCAGAACATGTAATATCCATTTCAAGATCAACAGAGAAATAAAGGCAGTTTAGAATAAAATCAACTTAATGGCTTTCTCGACAACGTGTTATGTGAAATCTATACATATACAGAATAAAGAAGAAACTCAGAGTAAATATTATAACATTACATGCAAGATGTTGATTTAACGTGTCCCATCGTTAGGTGGATTCATTTGGATTATTTAGTAAAATTAGTGCCAAGACCACGTTCATTTATCGGCCTAATTTGATAAACAAACATTTCAACATAAACTGCAAAACTAAAGTAAGCTCAGTTTCAAATACAAACATAATATAAAGGTTCTAATTACACACATTCAACATGGTGCACGATGATAAAAAACAACAACAACCGATAAACATATTGTTAAACTTATTACATAGATATTATTAAAATTAGCAATAATATGGAAAAGAGGTAACTAGAATAACTCAAATTGAACTTAGAAATATAAATGCAGGAAATTAATAAACTGAAATTCGCAAAATAATAATAATAGTCTAGTAAAATAAAATAATAATCCAGGGAAATAAGTACGTTAGGGAAAAAGCACTAGTATAGTTTTCTATTGTGGATGCTGTGTTTGATCTATTATTATAATGTCCGTTTTTGGATGGCTTGATTCTTTACAGTAGGTGTTTGTAACTTATTGGCGATAAATTTCAGCAATAAACGGACAGCATACAATCTACTTGTTTCAAAATAATATATTCAAAACAAGTCAAACGAATGTTCAAATATTCGTTACACCATTGGTTATCACAGTTGTATCCAGAGCTTTAAATAATCGTTTCGTTTTTCGTCAAAGTCCACACAAGCGGGTTTAATCACTTTGGAACACCCTTTGACAAGACAAATTATTCTCTTCTATTTCTGTTATTATAATAGAAGTTGTGAAACTCACTTTAGAAATCGCTCATTACAGCTAAACTGACAATCTTGCAGTCTATCTTCACTTTCACTAAATTAACTTCCTTACTTGGTCACCAATATATATTGTTACGACAGCGGAGGTCACGTGACTCTGGTAACACGTAATGAGTATCTCGAACGTTCCTGAAGGCTCCAGTGCTTGCCAGACACCCTCTATTTTGTATATATAAGACCGGCGAGAAGTGACGGCATAGATAATTGAATAGCAGACAGGGAGACAGAGACAGATAATCGAGTCAAGCCGTAAGTAAAGTGTGTAAATCATTGTGAATTATAGCGTGTGTTTAAGTTAAAGTGACTGTGGAAATTAAGTGTATTGCAAAGTTGTATTGAGAAAGAATAAATTAGTTTTATTTAAGAAAGAACTTGTATCGCTGAAGTTCTTCCGAAAGAATTTTTACGGGTAATTAACAAACGACCAGAGGCGTAACAATATGTTATCCCATCTAACAATTTCACGTTGTGGTTTTATGTTGCATTGCTACTTTCCTACAACCATTTTTTTAACCCTATCGAGACTGCCAGGGTAGCATCATG